TCAAAAACAAAGATTCACGCCTACATTTTCTTATTTTTGGTTAGAGAACCGCCTATATAATTTTGTTAGTGGAATATTGCAAAATCCTATCCACAGGGTGGTCCTTAAATACATAGAGGGTAATTCTTTAAAATATTTTAAGGAAAAGATGTTTGTATGAATATAAGTTCTAAACATCTTAGTCTTTGAGATACAGAATATTAACATTTTTGTGATTTTTCACGTAAAAACCTTAGAAATAGATTAATTAAACTAGGCTTGAATTTGTATACAATTTAATTACTTTCGATGCTACTGCCTATTTTGGAAATTTAATTAGTTTATTTGATCCCTATTTATATTTTAAAAAAAAGGTCTCCAGTTTTTTTGAAAAATTAGTAATTTTTGAATAATTTGTTTTTAACTTGAAATAAGCTTATCACCTGCTGATAAAATTGAAAGTAATTTTAAAACTGTTAATTTTACAAAAAAATCTATACAAATCGCTACTTACATATCCAATTTTAACTGAAACATTAGAAAAATTTATGGCGTACTTTGTTAAATGCAAACCTTCAAACAATTCAAAATTTCTATACTAAATAATTTTTTTAATTTCGGATGACTGCATTGTATTTCAAAATGTATTTGGAGCATACAATTTCTATAATTTTTTTTATAAAATAAGACATATGAATAAAATATAAGTTTCAATCAAGTAAACTGGTGGAGTTTCCAAAATCCTCAGTGGTGCCGAAATTCTGAGGTTCTTAGTGACTATTTCCAGAAGTATCTCCTTTTTTGGTTGATACAATAACTATATGCACACTCTGTAAATTTTTAACAGCTTTAACATCCCGCATCTGAAAAACTAAGCTGCTTAGAATATAGGGTCATGCAAAATTTTATATTTAAATCGATACAAAGAATCACCCCTATTATTGTCCGAAGGTACTCGGGAACTACCCTGTGTATCAGTTCATTTTTTGATTATAAAATTTTATACATTTCTATTCAAAGAATTTGCATTAAATTAAAAAGAATAAACAAAATAATGAAAAAACTCATTCAACTTTAAAAGAAAAAAAAAACAGAAATTAGAATTATTTGCATTTCATAAGCTTACTCTCATTTCTATAAGAAAAGAATCAGCCAAAATTCACCCTCCCTCACACCACTCATCCAGCATGGCGTTGCCTCGTCCGTGTGGCGTTGCCGTGTTACTAACCCATCTTTCACTCAGGTCCTGGACATATCCCAAAATTGGCTTTCTCTTCCTTATTTCAGCGGGGTCTTTGCTGTTTTCCAGGATTCACTAATCCAGTCACTGCGCAGAGAAAAGGAAAAATACCCAAGCCACTATTGGCAGGTGTAACTTCAAACCCAGGGGGACTGTTCGAATCAGGTTCTTTTCTGATGCCTCCCTCTCGTCACGAGTCGGGAGAGATGTTGCTGTTGGAGAAGCAAGGGCGCACCTCGCAGCAGCAACGCATGCAAGAGAACACAGAAAATAACCGTACCCAACCTGTTTTGGACAGTCCCGCCAACCACTGCCCAGCCCCGAGCTCCTTACCAAGGCCCCCCAGGTCCTCCCACCGATCCGGTCTTCCCAGGCGAATGGGAGACTACAATCGTCTTCCAGATAACGAGATCCCCCGCAANTATAAGAAAAGAATCAGCCAAAATTCACCCTCCCTCACACCACTCATCCAGCATGGCGTTGCCTCGTCCGTGTGGCGTTGCCGTGTTACTAACCCATCTTTCACTCAGGTCCTGGACATATCCCAAAATTGGCTTTCTCTTCCTTATTTCAGCGGGGTCTTTGCTGTTTTCCAGGATTCACTAATCCAGTCACTGCGCAGAGAAAAGGAAAAATACCCAAGCCACTATTGGCAGGTGTAACTTCAAACCCAGGGGGACTGTTCGAATCAGGTTCTTTTCTGATGCCTCCCTCTCGTCACGAGTCGGGAGAGATGTTGCTGTTGGAGAAGCAAGGGCGCACCTCGCAGCAGCAACGCATGCAAGAGAACACAGAAAATAACCGTACCCAACCTGTTTTGGACAGTCCCGCCAACCACTGCCCAGCCCCGAGCTCCTTACCAAGGCCCCCCAGGTCCTCCCACCGATCCGGTCTTCCCAGGCGAATGGGAGACTACAATCGTCTTCCAGATAACGAGATCCCCCGCAAAAAGTCAGACGGAGGGGAGTCGTTAAGCTCGAATACTAGCAGCAGAAGAGCCTCCCCTGCCAGGTCGCTCATACCCCCTCCGAGAAAGCTGGGAGAATACGGCAGGTTATCCGAAAGTGGCGGTTCGAGTGCCTCGTTACGTAAGCCGTCTACTAGGGTACGCAGTGGAAGCTCCGGTGGCGAAAGAGACTCAGCTTCAACTCTTAGTGATAACTCGGCCAGCTCTCTACCTCCTCCCTCGAAAGTACGTCTCTACGGAAGCAACTCGTTGAAGAGGGGCTCCTCTCTAGGAAGGGATAGTAAGTCTTCCACAGATTCGAATACGAGCAAATATCGAATTCAGTTTTAAGGCAGTAAGCAAACGTTTTGTTTGTTTTTCTAGATCGCAGACGACAATATTGACGCAATAACAGCCTTATTTAACAAATAGGTTAGATTTAATTGTTACGTTTTAATACTTAATGTTATACTCGTAGTTATCTTTTGACAGTGGGCTAAGTGTTTGTGATCTAGAAAATCAAATAATATATCCAGGAAAAGTGTTGCACAATTTTTTATTCGTCCTTAACTAGATTGAAATCTAATTAACAGAAAAGTATGTATTTGTTTCGTAATAATTATACAGGGTGTTTCATTTAGAACTTTCCGGCAAAAACAAAAGGACGCAATTATCCAAGTACTGTAAAAATTTTTGTGTATGAATGACATCTCTCATATACAGGCTGTTACAAATTCGCTTCTCACTACATGGATCTCGAAAACGGAACAAATACAAACTAGCAAAATGAGGGCACAGTTGCGTAATCAGGGGACCAACATTATGCCTCTTAAAAATCAAGGCTAACATGATTAGTTTTCGAAATATTTGAAAAAAAAAACAAAATTTTGGAAATCCGTTCTTGTTTAATTTCAGCCTTATTTGAGGTGATATTGAAAAAAGAAGAACACTTTCTCATGGCCACTTTTTGCCCTCTATTGAATGGCATTGTCAATTTTTATATGTAACGTTTCGTCTCTCCAGGATCATCATCAACTTCATTTTTTTAAATATGACCCTGGAAATTTTTTTACATTTTTTGCATGCTTTCATGACCCCCAATACTGTACTGCCTCAGCCCGAACCAGATTCAGACGTTTTGTCTCGAAAAATTCACCTTCAGTGTATTCGCTCCAAATTTATCTAAATTTTTTATTTAGATTTCTTTGTTTATTGAATTATCGTACGCTGTAAGTGTCGTTAGACCCTGTGAAATCCATCTAGTTATTTAAACTATTACCACCACACATTAAAATAAAACATTATTAGAGTTTTAATCCCGTGCCCATAGTTATTTCTAAGCTTCTTCAGTGCTCAAATTTCAAACAAATTCCGAACTATTTTTTTCGGCATATTCATACAAATGCATCAGACATGCTCTTTCACAGTTACGGTTACAGATATAATAAATTCCGATAATATTACACTGATTTTCATTTTCAACCTTTGCCAAAACGAAAATGTTTTTGAACATTTACCGAAATTTTTTAAAGAATAATATTCAGTTGGCATTTTGGTTGTTCGTGTGCATTTTGAAGAAATAATTTGTCATAATAAAATTAAAATTATAATGTTTTAATTTTGATGCAACAACTTATTATGTATCACCAAGTGATAGTAATAGTTAATAATAATAAATATTTTATTGTAACGTGTGCTGGTACTAGTTTAAATAACTAGATGGATTTTACAGGGTCTAATGACACTTACAGTGTATGATAATTCAAAAAACAAAGAAATCTAAAAACAAAATTTCGATTTTGGAACGAATACACTGAAGATGAATTTTTCGAGACAAAACGTCTGAAACTAGTTTGGGCTGAGGCAGTACAGTATTGTGGGTCATGAAAGCTTGCAAAAAATGTAATAAAATTTCTAGGGTGGTATTTAAAAAAATGAAGTTGATGATGGTCCTGGAGAGACGAAACGTTACATATAAAAATTGATTATGCCATTCGATAAAGGGCAAAAAGTGGCCATGAGAAAGTGTTCTTTTCACCTCAAACAAGGCTAAAATGAAACAAAAACGGACTTTAAAAATTTTGTTTTTTCAAATATTTTGAAAACTAATCACGTTAGCCTTGATTTTTTAGAGGCATAATGTTGGTCCCCTTTAAGCTACTTCGTACCTCTTACCGTTTCCGAGATCCCTGTAGTGAGAAGCAAATCTGTAACAGGCTGTGAATGGTGCAGCGGTCCAAGATAGTCGCTCAGAATTTAGCACTTTTTCATTTTTCAAAATTGTTGTTTGTACATCACTATTGAAAAAAAATTTCATTTGAATTTGAAGTTGTACCACAC